ACACACACACACACACACACACACACACACACACACACACACACACAATCTTTCCCAGCTAGATTTTAAAATCCTCAAGAGTAGAGAATCACTTTTATCTTTGTATAACCAGCACCTAGCATAGTACCTGGCCCAGAAAGGTGCTTAATAGATACTTGCTGGCTGCTGGCTAATGTTTTTAAAGAAATGCTATTAGAAGTAAACTATTCACTTTGGGAGATGCATGTACTTTTTGGCAATACTATTTAGCTATGAAATATATACTAGCTGCATTACTCTATTATCATTGGTGGCAGGTTTACAGTGCAGTCCCATATTCAGGATCAAAACAAAAATGCAAGAGTAAGCAAGTCAGTACTAAGAGACCTATTAGGAATACCATAAAAAACAAATAAAGTCATTTGTACACCAATCTAAAACAAGTTAACAAGAGCAAAAAATATGGGAGGGGGTATTCTCAATATAATTTTGATGTACCTTACCATGAGAAATTCTAGTCTGTGAAAACCCAAATTCATAAAATAGAAAAAGAAGGTTATTATTTATAATGCTATGAGGAAACAATGGCATACTCCTGTTTTATACAAACTATCTTATGTGTTCAAATTGTGTTTTAAGATGTTTCAAGGGTGGAGGGAAAGGTTAACTGCTTTTAAAGATCAGGTTGGCCTAAAGAGGTTGTACAACTGTAGGGTTTAGCAAGGAAGTAATTCAATGATAACCAATATCTGCAAAAGAAATGGACTGTTAGTGATTTGGTTGCTAAGGTAACATTTTCCCCAATGGAATAAATAATCACAAGCTTAGATACAGACTTTATACAGATGTGGATAAGATGAGTGTGGACAAAAAACAGATAATGACAAGCTCCCTTCTGGCAGAAAGACTGTGGATGGATATCCATGGTGGGGAAGTGGATGGGGCTGGAAACTGTCTGAATTGAAATACTGGAAATCACTGGAACATCTCCCTTCTGCTCCCTGTGGCTTTTTATTGTAAATACCCTCCCTCCAAGTTGGGGGCCCTGATTTAGAAGTAAATCACAAGCGTTTATAATGTTAGCCTCACATTTCCAACCTTATTAAGTAATGACAAATATCATAATTACAAAATGCTTCAGTTCAGATTTTCTTAAAACATCTAAGTATGATTCCATTCACAAAGATCCAAAATATATATGATATTTATGAACATATTTCACTAATCCAAAAATCTATGATTTCATTGGTGTGGGTATTCCCCACTAGCCGTGCAGATTGCAATCCTTCTATGCGTTAGCAAATGATTTAGTAAGTTGCTGTGGCCAAACACATTCACCACTTGTTGGCTCACCTTCTGGTGATGAACCTCTTGGAACTTTGCCTGGCTAATCCTTAGGCAAAAGACATACAGGTCATCACAAAGTCCATATCCGAAGCCTTTTCAGCTTGGTAGGTCCTTCCAAAGTTTATTTTCAGCTGACAGGTTTTGAGAACCCAGAGTTATTTTCTTGCCATTATAGGTATCAGTATAGATGTTCAGTGAACTGTTGGGAACTCATATTGTATAAAGTATAAAACTTCAGTGTGTATGTGTGTGTGTGTATGTGTGTGTGTCTGTTTACAAAAGAAAAAAACACAAAAGACTACAGGTTGAACCTTCAAGGTACATTTTCCGAAATACTGTGACTTACCTTATCATTTAATGTGGGATCATTCAAAGAGTATAACTTATTTGTGATATCCTTCCCAATAAGGTATCTAAATATTTCATAAAGGAATGGTTCTGATTCCAGAAAAAAAGTTAATCTCTCTCTTGACCAGCACAAGAATCTACAGGTATCATCAGCAACAATGGTGACCTGGAAAAGGTACAAACATGCAAAGGGGAAAAAAATGAACAGATTTGTGATTATTTCACACTAGAGGAATGGAGAAATGGGATTATTTAACAGAAATTATTATTGTAACAATTATTTATTCAATCAGTTCAATTAATTCAAAAAAGGTTCACAACACACAGGTCCCCTCCTGTGTATATAAAATGAAAATAAGATGTATTAAACAATCCAAAAGCAATTGTTCAGTTAAATAAAAGCAACTTCACGGAGATCTGTGTAACATCTTTCACATTTGAGATATCTTGTAAACAGAACAAGGGCGAAATACCAAGGGTTGGAGGGAGAGCCTCACAGGATATCTCAGTATAGATCAAGGTTGTTCAATACACTCATCATAAGTAGCCAATCAGTTGGTCAGAGACCTGTGGTGAATTGATATTCCTGGTGCAAGGATGATTTATAGGCAACTGCTCTTCAGAGAAAAGTTTAAAGAGACAGAAGCAAGTTTCTCAAAGCAGGAAATAGATGAATGAACTAGGTTAGCTTAGTAAATTCTTCCATTTCTAACTGGCTCTTGTGTGAATTAATTTGATATCCCAGGGCTGATTGCCAAAGGAAAAGTATGGCTAGTGAGTGGCCCTCTGCTATGGGCAGCAGTAGGGAAGAAAGGGTAGAGAACTAGCTTTTTATTTATTTATTTGTTTTTTACTTTTTGGGTGACCCACCAGGACCAGTCACAACAGTAACTCTAACAAACTGGGAGATAAGAGCTAAAAAACCCAGACCTTCTCTTTAAACTTGATCATAGAAAAAAGAAAGAAAACTTAAGTATTTCCAAGAAAAGGCATGCCCACCAATCATGTAAAATTAAATTCTGGGCCTCCAGAAAGAATTTCAGAAATGCTACCTTATCTACTATTAATTTCAAAAAACCCAAAATAATATAAACATATCACTGGCCCCTTTGAAATATATGGATTTTTATGGAAAGATAAAAGTGAAACAGTTTTCTCTCCTTCTTCTCTGGACACTTGTACTCCTAAATAATTGATAGTTAGCAAGTTGGAAGACTTAACTTTTTGCAAGGGAAATAATGGATTCAATGAAAGATTAAAAAAGAGATTTTTGGAGTTAATCTAATCCAACCTCTCAAATTCATTGAGGCCCTGATAGGTTGACTTGTCTATGGTCATAGAGTAAATAGTAAAGCTGTGATTTGATGAATGAGTGAATTTAAGCATTTACTGTGTTCTAGGGCAGGGGCAGGGGATTTGGTCTGTGAAGTCTGGATTCAGTCAAAGGGCCACACTTGAGGACTTAGAGGGCCACATGTGGCCTTGAGGCTGCAGGTTTTCCACCCCTGTGCTAGGCACTGTGCTAAGTGTTGAAGAAAACAATCTAGCTCCTACTTTTAAGAAACTCATACTCAAATAGGGGAAAATAACATATAAAGGAAAGTTTAGGTACAAGGCAGATGGAAAGATCCAGAAGTCCTAGGCACGCCACATCTGGGCAGATGGCAAGGACCAGGGGGCCTTAGTATAACATTATCAATAAGTCATATGACAGTTCGAAGGATCTGTGGGGCACAGAGGCAGTAGTGGTAGGTTAAGACCTGATGGCCCTTCTACTCATTGGTAGGAACACAGTTGGTGACTCCTAATGCCAAGCCAGGCAGTCAATCAAGCAGCGCAGGTTTAAGGTGACTGGGACTACAGCACAGTAAATTGAGAAACTGAACCCAAGTGCCTGGACTTGAGAATCAAGAAAAAGGAATGAGGAATGACCATGATAAGCTTAAGTACTCCTTAAGCAGAAATCAATAGCATAAAAAAGAATGTAATGAGTCTTAAGATTCCACAAAACTCTTCAACGGAAAGCCATGGTATTAAATAACAGTACTACTCTTCTTCATCTATGAAATCATGTTAGCAACATTCTAATTAGTTGTATCACATGCCAATTTTAATATTAATTCCAATATTAATTTATATTTTATAGTAATACTAATTTTAAAGATATGGAAACTGGGATAGTACAATAAAGGAATAAATCACAAAGCTAGTTTGTAATAGCTATCTAACCAGGGGTGGAGAACCTGCAGCCTTGAGGCCATATGTGGCCTTCTAGGTCCTTGGGTGCGGCCTTTTGACTGAGTCTGAGTTTTATAGAACATCCTTTTACTAAGGGGATTTGTTCTGTGAAGTTTGGATTCAGTCAAATAGCCACACTTGAGGTCCTAGAGGGCCACATGTGGTCTTGATGCCACAGGTTCCCCACACCTGGTCTAACCCATTTCCTGACTACTAGCCCAGAACATTTCATAGGACTATTAAGTATCATCTATGTCAAGAACTTCCACTAAAATCCTACTCCAAAGCTTCTTCACAACATGGGAGATATCTCTGGTTCTTCAGCAACCTTGGCTCTTGCTCTAGCAAGGTTCTAGCAAGCTGGAAAATCTTTAGGTATAGTCCTGGCAACAGACAATGTCTACTATGTCTACTTTTGGTGAGGGCAGTTGGGGGTAAGTGACTTGCCCAGGGTCACACAGCTAGTGAGTGTTATGTGTCTGAGGCCGGATTTGAACTCAGATTCTCCTGACTCCAGGGCCGGTGCTCTATCCATTGTGCCACCTAGCTGCCCCCTACTATGTCTACTTTTGGAGGAATATAGTAGCTAAGTATGGAGGGACTCGGTAAGTAGGCTGGCTACTTGGTGATGAATTCTTTGGCTGTGGCAGTCCATGAAAAAAAGAAAAAATATAAATGATCCCCAGTCCTATGTGGTCTCCTTTTGTTTCTACAGTGACATTAACAAAGTTATAGGAAAGGGGGCAGAAGGTACTAAGAATTAAAGCAGTCTTTAGAACACCTACAAACATTAATTTAGCTCTTGGTACTCTAAATGTAAGATTCTTGTACAAATAAATGGACATACTATGTATTAATCTTTCACTTTCATCATGAATGAAACCAGAAAACAAACAGGATGCTACAGCTAAATGGAAAGATGGCTCAGAAGTTCTCCTTACAGAGACAAATAATGGACTTGGCAACAAGAATCTCACAGGACACTTGGTCATCTTATATTTCAGTGCTCATGATAAATATTTGTCAAAAGACCAAAATACTTTGAAAAATAACTAAAGCTTATGTACCAGCACTTGTTGAGGAGGATGAATAGGTAGAGAAATTCTACAGAGAACTCAGGAAGACTTTCCCAATGAAATAAACATATACCTTGAAATACAGTTATGTCAATGCAAAGGAAGGTATGGCAGATGGAAAATTTGGTTTTGTAGCAACATATAAGAGAGGCTAAAAACTTATAGTCTACCAAGAAGTTTCATGTCTACATATCATGAATACTTTTTTTTCTCAAGAAGAGAATTGGCAGGTGCTAGATATGGCCAACACGAGAGCACAAAATAATGAAACTGGTTACATACTTTACCAGACAGGAAAAATTTATTACTGATATGGGAGTCATTCTCAAATCAGATGTGATCTTATAATCTTATACAGTCAGACTTTTAATTTGTAAAGATCAAAATAAAAAATGAGATGGCATACAACTAAAACATTTCCCATCTAACATATTTAAATGAGCCATTGGTGCCAAAAAACTAGATGGAAAAATGGATGTTGACACACATCACAACCTTTTCTTAAAGAAATTTAAGTGGTGGCCAATAATTGCCATAATGAAGAGACGAAAAGAGTTGAAAAACCACCTGATCCAGTGAATATTAAATCTCCATGTCAAACTAAGAGATATAGCAAACAAAGGCAATGTCAGTTTAGAATACAAACTCACTTATAAAATCTCATGGAGGAGAAGATATATATTCATCAAGGTATTTGGCACTGTTACAAAGGAAGTCCAGATCACAGCCCAAATAGAACAGTGATTCTCTAGAAATCATAGGATCGGAGATTTAGTTCTGAAAAAAACTCCTTTATTTTACAGGTGAAGAAACTGAAGCCCAAAGATATTAACTGATTAACCTGGAATGAGAGCTAATAAGTGTCTGAGAAGAAATCCAAACCAAGGTCTTTTTGAATTCAAGTCCAATGCTCTATCAACTATGACTGTAGTTCTCTAGATTTTCCTGTTTTCAGATATAATTACACATTAAGCCCTAGAATACTATAGAATTTCCTTAATGAGACCCATAACTAGTCAAGAGAATACAGTTTATCTATCTATCGACACAGAAAAATAAAAGTGAATGAAGAATGCTTATTGTCCAGACTACAGTGGATGGGCTACCCAAAGAGCTTGTCTATGAGGACATAGTAACAGACAGGTAACACAAATAGGGAGTAAGCTGGACCCACAACAGAGCACTGGGAGGGTAGCAGAACAGATTGCCTTTGGGAAAGTGCACAGTTATTTCAATGACTCCAAGCTTCTCTCTGAAACAAAGATCCGGTTTTTTAAATACCGATATTTGTGTGCTGGCAAGGTATCAATGCAAGTCATGGAACAGAAGCAAAAAGTCTGAGTTAGAAGAATCTCATCAACTAATTAAACCCAAACACAAAAGGAATCCCCATTATAATATATTGGACAAGTGGTCATCTAGCCTCTGATTAAAGACCTCTAAAGAAGAGGAAACCACCACCACTTGGAGCAGCCCATTCCACTTTGGGACAGCTTAAATTGTTAGGGAGTTTTTCCTGACATCAAACCTAAATTTTCTTCTGCCTCTTCCACCCATGGTTTCTGATTCTGCCCTCTGGAACCAAATAGAATAAGTCTAATATTTCCTCTCTCCATGAGCCCTTCAAATACTTGAAGACAATGACCATATCTCTTTTGAGTCTTCTCCTTTACAGGCTAAACATGTTAAGTTTATTCACTGATCCTCTTACAATATGAACTCAAGGTCCTTCACTGCCCTAGCTGCCCTCCTTGGGATATTCTCCTGTTTATCACTGTCTTTCTCTAACATTCAGAACTGAAGAAAATACTTAATATAAGGTCTGAAAAAGGCAGAGTGCAGTGGGGCTGTG